AACTGCACGTATGGATGCTTATGATTAGGTCTATGGTTGAGGGCAAAGAGGGACGGCTTATGCGCAACGAAATCACGGCCAGAATGTGGGAGGACTGCGAGACACGGCTTAAGCTTATGACGGTATGACTTGATTACTGTTTACATTTGTTGTCAGTGTCTCTAATGATTGGTAACGCATAACCACAGCATATGACACAATCTGTCCGTCGGAAAGGATTGGAGGACTTATTACAACAATTTCGGGCATCTCTTATAGCATACGACGAGGTATTGATTTGTTTGTAATTTTTTGTGTTAAAGAATTTTGGGTTAAAATGTTTTCATATTTAGGGCTTTTTAACTGACGATAAAACACTGTCGGCCGCTCTTTGGAGGACATTATTTACCTATGAATCAGTTGATCCCAAATATCTTGAGCTTATCGTTCAGTACATACGGACCCAAGTATTACATTAATTCATTTGCTTTAGATTGAGATTAGATTTTTAAATACACTGTTTGTATAGGAATTGAATCAATTAATTGCAATCAAATTGTTTAATAAATAATGTATATGTGATCTATAGGTCGAACATTTGCATACCATTGGGACCGAAAAGTTTTTCCTCGACGGGAAGATCACGTGGAAACCATTCCCACCATTTTATCCATAGTTATTGTTTTGTAATTTATTTTTTGCATTCAATTTTAGTGTTTATTTAATGTAAAATTAGTTGTTTAGATAAAATACATTTGACGCCAAAAAATTTTGCGAAATAAAATGTTGAAAAATTTGATATAAACACATCTCGGTTTGAATTATTAATTTTTGTTATCAATAATATTGAATATTTTTGAAATATTTTGATATTTTTTATAACAAGTATTAAAGTTTGTATTGGTATAAATGGAAAAGAAGTGGACTTCACATGAATCGGTGATAGAATTATGAAATTAATCTTATAATTTAGGTTTACATCTCTAGGCAACAGATTCCAAATTTTATTAAGTTTGTTTCAGTACTTAACGCACAGTAATTTTTAATGTAAACCAGTCGGCATTTTTTCAAATATTTGATCAAAAATTACCACATTTTTAATATGATTTTTCAAAAATCAAAAATATATTTTAAGTGATTATTTAGTTATTGAAACTCACTATTAGTTTAGAGATGTAATCACGATATCAATCATAATGGGAATCAAATGCGAACTCAGCGAACACTTGCAGAACACCTGTCGATTACCGATAATTAATTGGCCAGAATTCGACTGCCTGTCAATGCTTACCATTGAATAGTATATTGTTATAATCCATTTATGATATAGTTTTCACTAGACCTAGTATGGGCAGCAATTAAAAAAATGTATTATAACCAGTCATTTTTTCCATTGAAATTTACACTCAAGAGGGTTCTACCTGAACACAAAGTGAGATTAAGTAATTTAAATGGTATCATAATATAGATCATGTATAAAAGTAACTATTTGGCCCTTAAAATTCGGCGAATGGCCATATTGTCTAATTATAATTAGTAAAATTAGTTGTGTATATTCAGAATAAACATTTAATTTTGGCGCTTGTAGACTGAATTAATATTTATTAATATGAATAAAGTATATCTTGCTCATTTTATTGAGTAATGTTATAATGAATGTTTTCTGTAAGTAATTAATAGTTTATTTAATATTATGATTATTTACTCATATGAACTTTATTTCATACTATAAATTACAAATATGAATGAAATTTACAACAAATATTAAACTATTAATTACTTACAGAAAACATTCATTATAACATTACTCAATAAAATGAGCAAGATATACTTTATTCAGTCTACAAGCGCTAAAATTAAATGTTTATTTTGAATATACACAACTAATTTTACTAATTATAATCAGGCAATATGGCCATTCGCCGAATTTTAAGGGCTAAATAGTTACTTTTATACATTATCTATATTATGATACCATTTAAATTACTTAATCTCACTTTGTGTTCAGGTAGAACCCTCTTCAGTGTAAATTTTGCCCTTACTAGCACTAGACTCTAGTGACTAGAGTATGTATTTCGTATTATGTCTATTATTACAAGAGTATAATTACCGGTAATATAACTACGATTTTGACCGCCGGTAAATACAAAAACCGACCTCTTTCATAGAAATACATTATTTGTCTGGTCTAGGTAAAAAATTCCCGAGTGTTTAATACTTATCTAACGTAAATTTGATAAAACTTGGAATTTAGTGCCTAGAGATGTAAATTGAAATTATATGACTAATTCTATAATTTTATTCACTGATTTATAAGGACACCTCTTTTCCATTTATACCAATAACACAGGTACAGTATTGTGATACATGGCTTTGTTTTGAATTATTTTTATACTATCTAGTACAATTAGATATATTTACGGATCGGTAAAACTAGTTAATTATAAGTGGACTTATGGCGTCTGCACTGTTTGTGCGGCCACACTGTGCCGTATAATTGATAATTTCATGTATGTGTGAGTCTTTCGTCACAATCTTTTCAAACTTCATGGGATTTTATATCATTTAATCTATGATTTCATAAACAGTTTTGCACAACAATATTAGGCTCTAATTGAGAAGAATATGGTAAACGAGATATTTCTAGTTTTTGCTGTAAATTCTGATGAAAACATAAACCAACGAAAAAAAATTCTAAAACGGCTAAACTTTTGCAAACATTTAATATGAAAATAATACAGTATATGGGATGAGAGGAAATATTTCAAACCCATTATACAAAAGAACATAAAGTAATTGAATGGGAATTTCATATGAATTTATCATTAAAAACAAAAGAATAGAGAATAATATACAAATAAATGATTGAATAAACGATTTGTAATAACATTGATGGATTAGCGTTCAACCATTCAATCCTGTAATTACTATCTCATACAGAAATGTGTAGTTTTAATAAAGTTTTTGAGCAAATATTTTATCACTAAAGAGGATTTGCCCTTAAGATTGGTTTCGCAGCACTGAATACACTGTGCGAGTGATTGGCAGCCAATGATGTCGTCCTTGTAGTGATAGAGACAACGCCGATAACTGGCTCTAACCACTAGACTCTAACCACTGACTACATTGACTGCATGTTCACTAAACACTACAAATAGGCAATACATTAGCGACTCTTGCATTGGATTTTGTTGCCAATACTTTCTGCTCTTCTAATCACTTCATTCATTATTTGCTATTATTTTTCATTCAAGTAAGCATTTATTCTAATAGTTATTTCTATAATTGTTTTACATTTTTAAAATTTATTTATGAGTTTTTTGTTGTATTTATACTATTTGTTATGCTTTTGTTTATTTAAGCCTATTTTTATTGATTTTAACCCAAGATTTTCTCAATAATTTGGTTGAATAATGTTGTTATACATGTATTATAATAATGATGTAGTTATTTATGAATATTGAGATAAATCATTGTGAAAGTCTAAAAACCCGTTTATCTCTCCCTTAGAATATTCTATGCTTTTATTCTACTTTCAGTTGAAGTCATGCAATGATATTAATTAATTGCTATACTATTCTGCATATTATGCTAAATATTGTGATAATCGGCACAATTTTTATTGCAATTATTTATTGAATGTGTCGTCATTTAAAGTCAACTATATTTATACTGAACTGTCATTAATAAAGTATATTTATACTGATTAAGACATTTCATTAACTAATTTATTCATTATTTCAATACAAAAGTAATCTTAATTTCTATCACTCAAATAACTTCACTTGCGTTGGCTTTCAGTCAATTATGTTGTGAACATTTTGAATACAAAGTTTTATTCAATTTTTTAATTAACTATCAATTAATAATAATCTAATGCTTTACTTTTTTTTATAATACTGATTATTTTATTAATTTAAACATATATTATTTCAATAATATTTACAATATTGTTTGTTTTTAAATTGTTTATTCAAATTATAAATTTCTTAAAGTTTTTATTGAATTTAAGTTGAAAAATATTTACTTATAGAGTCTACAATATAGACTATAAGTTTGATTTCTGTTATCATTGTAATGCATGTTTGGAATTTGCAGAATATTTTTAATTTGCAAAGTTTGACTTCATTTCAAAACTCGTTCATTTTAAACCTAATATGTATTGAATTTAGTATATTTTGTATTTTATGTTTAAATGAGCCGTTTTTATTGAGAAATGATTACTCTGTTTAGACCCTTAGCGACAGTAATACCAGTGCTGTCCAGAATAGTCTGGAAGTTCCCACTCCTCAGGCGATAGAAATATTTTTGTTTTGTAAATTCATGACTCAATTGATCGGTTGCCGTCTTTGCTATAAAACAAATTAGTTTTTGTTAGACTTTTAGAAAGACATACGAACTCTAACTTTAAGTAAAATATTTACAGAATATACAACAGAATTTGCAACAATCTTTAATATAATAGATTACAGTTAAAAATATTTAAAAAACCAAAACATTTTTTGCTACAAACCAATGTTTGTAGTTTTATGTAATAGGGCGTTCAATGTATTTTGCGCGTCGCGTTTTTGGAATATCTTTTAAACTGTAAGAGGTCACTAGATTCTGTAAAAAGGATATAATAGTGAAAGCGATGCAGAATTTTTTCATATCCTATGGACCGATGTGGGTCACGTGGTATTCTTAATAACCTATACATTCCAAATCATTATATTATTTTTCAAACTATACAAGGTATAGAGATGATCCCAATATAAAAGTTGTTAAACAATAATAGCTGCGTACAATAAAAAAGGAATCATTAAAATCGGACAAGTACTTTGGTTTTTATGACCCTAAATGTCATAATTTTTGGGGAAAATTGATAAAACATTGAAATTGTTTTGAGAAAATGGAATCTTTTGACCAGTAGAACGATGAATATTAGAAAGATTACGACTACCCATAAGCTTAACATTGTCTTAGGTATGACATAAGCCCATAATATTAGGATTGCCACAGACTTCATTTTCTTCATATATTTGACTGACCAGTTACTGGACTGGACTGGACTGTTAGTCCATAGGAATAACATTACAGTATACTCGACTTGCCTAAGTCATAAAAACTAAAGTACTGTTCCGATTTTAATAATTCCTTTTTCATTGTACGCAGCTATTATTGCTTAGTTTGAAAAATAATATAATGATTTGGAATGTATAGGTTATTAAGAATACCACGTGACCCACATCGGTCAATAGAATATGAAAAAATTCTGCATCGCTTTCACTATTATATCCTTTTTACAGAATCTAGTTACCTCTTACAGTTTAAAAGATATTCCAAAAACGCGACGCGCAAAATACATTGAACGCCCTATTACATACTGTATTCACCTATAAACTATTAAGTGAAGTAAACACAACATTATATTGTATTGAGTTAACTTGTATATATTGTATATTTGTTTTCTTAAGAAAATATTTTAGAAATTTAATTAAATTATTTATACTGTAAAAACATATATCAAATAATTATAACGGAATTAACAGCATATCGGAAATAATAACCTCTATTTATATATCCAATTGTCCTAAATATCATAAATACTTTATTAATAAAACTACAAAAATTAATAATTGAAAAACTATTGCATAAATCTGTCACTTAATAAAAATATATTTTATGATCACAAACTTTGTTTCAAATGAATACTGTAAAATTATTTCAATTTTAGATTTATAAATTCTAAATAACTTTAAAAGTTTTGTATCAATACAATTTGGTTTTAAACATTGAAAAATAATAAATATTTCTTGAATACAATAAT